AACATTATTTATCTGAGGAGCAGACTGCTTTGAATTGAACTCCATCACAGACTCTCATCTTGAGCAAGCATGAAAGCGACAGTGGAAAGGAAAAACTCCCTCATGAGGAAGAAACCTTTAGCAGAACCAGGTTCAGGACAAGCGGCCATCTGCTTCGACTGGCTGGGTTTGGTAGGAACAGATACACAATGGCAGGTTGAGAATCACATCTTAAGATAAAAATAGTATCAATCAAATGAAAAATATTAAATTTTAACAATTCATTTTAGGAAATGTGCTCAATTTGTCCTCTAGTAGTATAAGCCTATGGCAGTGTATCAAGCCAACCCTAACTATAGGATTTATCAAAAAGGAACATCTTAAGCCCAGTCTTAAAACTGGACAATGTGTCAGTCTCACATAGACAGAAACTGGAAGCTGGTTCCACAAGAGAGGAGCCTGATAACTGAAAGATCTTCCAACCATTCTGCTTTTGGAAACTCTAGGAACTGCAAGTAAACCTGCAGTCTGAGAGCAAAGTGCTCTGTTAGGAAAACATGGAACAATACGCTCTGTAATATAAGATGGAGCTAGGTTGTTGAGAGCTAGCTAGTTTAGGGGCACCTTATTTACAATATTTGTGAAGAAGCACTGAAAGAAAGAAAAAGAAAACCATTCATTTAAAACTTTAGTTTGTTTATGAGAGTAAAAAGGGCTTTCTGAAATGCATGTCCAAAAACTCCTTAATTTCTTCAGGCGGTTTATAAACCCAAAGTCAAAGGTTCCCACGACATAAGAAGAAAATATCATTAGCACAGGGGTCAGTAGTTTATATCTGTACCTACGGTCAGCTGAGGTAAACAGGTGCAGGTTAGTTAAAAAGTTCTGGGGATGGTTGTTTATGTTCCTCAACACATGTCTTTCAAGACTACCTATGATGTTTATTACAACACTATCATCTGATTTGGTTACAGTATTTTATATTTTATACTTGTGCTTGTTTTGGTTGTATTCATGTTTCACACACTAAAAAGGAATCTGAATATGTACATAATCACTTGTCAAGGAAATTGTTAAATATGGTGTTTAGATCCTTTTTACCATCTCATCTCCAGGAAGTGGGTGTGCAACAGACTTTTTGTTTGCTTTTGTATGTCACACTACAATTATTCTGGAGCACTGTATTAGTTGGTGTCTTCGTTTTTAAATTAAAGCACAAACAAGACAATGTTCCAAATTTGGGAATACTACTGATATTTCTATTTCTATCCCCAAAGTAAACTCTTTCTGCCACACACTGTGAAATCAGTAAGTCCAGTATTTGAAACACAGTTAACTGTGCTGAACTGCTGCTACTTTACTGCAGCTTTAAAACGTGCAAGTCATCTTCCTTTGCAAAAGTTTCAAATATTTTCACTTTACGAACCATAATAATAAAACTTGTAAAAGCTAGCTGAATGATCAGGTACCTTTTTCATACCACCGACCGACGAAGAAGAATCCTTCCAGTTTACATTCAGCGCGCCAAAAACCTCTGACACACACCTAAACCCGGAACAGTGTTTGGATCACCACGTGTCTGCTCCTTCAAAACATCTCCAACTTTTCTAACAAGTGCAGTCAACGGCGCTGATTTTTAATGTATATAAAAGATGCATTTCCGTTTGACACGCCAGTTTGTGCCAAACCAAGTAAAACAGCTTTAAGATTTCTGTACCTGTAATGAAAAGAAGGGTAGTTCTTCGTACATTACTGTATTTTTTAATGACTGAAAAGCAGTTACGTACTTTTTTTACGCGTGCTCAGTTGAAAACATAAACTTTAGTATATATAAATACGAAGAATATTAAGGTTTTTGTTAAGTAGGGGTGAAATTGGTGTTTTATTTGGTTAGAGGAGAAGCATTCTTCCCTAACTATTTTGCCATTTGGTACGTTCCATAAACCGGAAGTTGCCTAAACCACGTCCGGGTTGTCGTTATGGACGCTTTCAGTCCACGAAGCTAAGAAAAATAGCAAAACACTTACTCCAACTGAATAATAGGCATATTTTTTCTATTTATTATCTGCCAAAATAGACTCTATTTTTTACCAGAAAGGCTGCTTTTGAAACGACTCAGCTGTTTGTTGCTCCGTTTTCAATCATGTTAAATAACAGCGACGTAGTCTTCAAGTAAATGAAAATAATTATAGCGGTAGCATACGATGGATGTCTTTTTCTCGTTTTCTCTTGGACATATAAATTGCTATCGCCGATGAACGCAGAGTGGCTGTAAACGATGTTAGCTTCATTTCCCCTGACTGTCACGGATTAACTCGGACTATATTAACAAGGAGCCTATAAAAGGTAAACACACTCACATTTTGTCACGCAAAACAACTAGATTTTTTTCGACATGTCCCACGGGTACACGGTTTTAAATTTGCGCGATGAATAAATATCAAACAAATCCACGTTCTTGAGCAACTTCAACAAGTCTGCCGCCTCCTCCACCAATGTCTGTGTTTATAAAATGACAAAATGAACATTAAGATTTGTCTCCATTTTATTGGCAGGCTAGGTTCATACATAAAACACAAGACAGTAAGAAAAGAACAGCTCTCCTTTGAGAGTGCCAGAACAGCTCTCCTTTGAGAGTGCCACAACGATACTTGTTTACAGATTCATCCAAATGTTGTATGAATATGAGCATTGTCTTAAAGTGTAGATGTCACTCCAGAAACAAACATCTGACTGACACCAGCATCCTCTAGGTATTCTGAGAGCTCTCATGGCATCATTGTATGGCACTTGCATCTTCTAAATGCTAGATTTTTGTAGGATGATCACAAAGGGTACAGTTTCAATAAAATACTTGGACAAACAATTAACAGTCCATCACATAAAAAAAAAAAAGTAATTGTAATTTTGATATGTTTTGTGTTTAGGCTGATTATTAGACAAAGTAACATTATAGTTTAAGTTCTCTGAACTTAAACAGTATGCTTAGCATCTAGTTGTCTTTCTGTAGATGAGATCATGGATTAAATTATCACAAATCTGATGTGGACAGGCTGTCAGCACCTGGACGCATATATTGAGTCAAATTTTACAACTCAGCCTTCTCAGTTGCACTCATCACCCCTGTCAGCATGCAGTTTATTTAAGGGTCAGACTAGAAATACAGTAGCTGAGCAGCTTTTTAACGCAATAATATAAAATATTTTCAAACAAAAATCAAGAGAAATGGTCATCCAAATAAGCTGAAAATGTAGTTTAGATTTTCAGAGGTGAGTATTTTCTGCCCTCTTTTATTTCAAGCGTTATGTTACACAACACATCTTTGGCTTCAGGTTTTATCAGCTATAATAGAGTTTTAGTTTTAAGAATAATTTCCCACTTCACAGAGATTTGCTTCATATGTGATGCATGTAATTATTTTAAATGCAGCCCTGCTGAGTTGTATGTGTCGTCTCAGAATTAAAATTTGAAAGCCTTTATTATCATTACACACAAAATCTGTATCCAGTCTTATCAGTGTACACAAAATAAAAAAAATAAAAAAACAACAACACAGTAACAGGAAATATGAGCAACACTATGTGAACAATACATCTAAATCTAAAAAGATGTATATGCAAATAACACAGTCAGTGTTAAAAGCTATTCCACATTAGATTAGGAATTATTGTACATGGTATTAGCAGATAAATAATTATTACATATTTATTTACAAATTATTAGCATTGTGTTCTTAGACGTTTTCTTTTTTTATTTGAACGAAACATGATTTGCTATCCTGGCATTTTTATGTTTAATAATATGAAATAAAATAAATATGTGGAAGGCACTTCTGAATTTTAATATATTTGATATTTTATATTCATTCAAAGTTTACAGTTTGCATATTATAATTTGCATGGGATTTACTTTGGTGATATGGGTGTTAAAATGCTCATGATTACCGATACTTCACAAAACAGCAATAACTTATAATGTTGTGTTCGGCTGTATTATTCATTCTCTCGGTGCAGATGTGAGTCACACCTGCATTTATTTGTTGCACTGATCCAAAATTGCTGAACAGTTTGACTCATTTATACAGTCAACAGGTTTCTTTGTAGCAAAGAAAAACTTGCTCAAGTCAGCTGAACTGAATTTGTGTTGTAAAATGTTTTAGCAGAATTGTCATATTATGTAAAACAGATCTGATTTATTCTTAGAGCTTACATCAGAATTGCTCTAAAGATGTAAATCTCTCAGAAGCAATATAATGAAGCTAGGCAACTATGTTGTACAGCAATAGTGAAGCCATGCCCTCCCGTGGGGTACATGTGAGATCGTTTTCAGCACTGTTGTGATCTCAGGAAATGCACCTGTTTAATTTATGATATTTCCTTAACAGAACTGTTAAGGTACTCCGTTTAAAATAATGTTGACTTTAACTTGACATGTTCTAAGTGGTTTTAAAGCTGCAGCCTGGGGGAAATGCTGCTAAATATTTCAGGACAAACTCATTACTGTAAATGGGCCTCTGTGTTAGCCTAGCTGGAGAAGACAGGCAGCAGCAAGAGAGATAGGAGTGTGATGGGTGTGTGCGTGTTTCTCTGAGGCTGCGTTTCTTCCTGTACTCTAATGGTGGAGCAGTTGATGTCTTAGGCAGGCAGCATCTCTGTGCCTGGCCCAGTTGTCCCTGTTGCAATTCTTTGAAACATGCGGGGGCTCATCTAACATCTGCTTTCTAAAGAGCTAATGACAAGACAATGGAGACTGGATGATTTAAAGTATTGCACTAATGAGGCCCTGTGTGATTCCTGGTGAATCCTAATGCACGTACATGAACATGCTTAAGATATGTTGGCAGACCAGGAGGCTTCCAATCAAATCCTTTGACCAGCTGTTCATGTGTCCTCTGATCTTTTACCCCTAAAGATTATGATGATGTTCCGGACGCCCATCTACACACAAAAAAAAAAGATGAACCCAAACAAAAGCTACTTAGTTTAGATAATTATAATGTTGAGTTCATAATCTAGGGACTATAAATCTTCCTCCTATTCAAGCACTGACTGCATTTAGTCCCCTCCTCAGACTGTGGCGCAGAGGGAGCATGATGACGAGTGTAAGCAGAAAAAGGGAAAAGAAGAGAGGCAGAAATAATAAAGGACAAGCCTAACTGGTGAAGCTGTCAGCGGAAGAAAATAATATTTGTCCAGCTGGACAGGCCTCCCTTTGTGCAGGCTAAATGAATGTTGAGCTTCCTGTCTACCCTGTCAGGGAGGCTGGCGTCGACTGTATGCTGCAGCGAAAGGAGCAGAGCTGCGTGCAGGGAGGTGTTTGGAGTTTGACAGGGATTATTAAAATCAGAGCAGATGATGAGGAAGGGGCGAGAGGCGGCGTGTGAGAAAACCAAATTGACACAGACACTCTCCATTACCTTCCACTTGACTCACGCTGATGACAATGTTGATATGAGACCCAGCAGCGTGGCACCAACATGGGATTGGTTGTTAGCATGTGCGTTAAGCACCGTGAGGTGGGAGGGGAGGACCTCAGCTCTAGGAAAGACCAAAGATGATGAATTGTTTGTTTAAAGTCTTAACCGAAGAGCATCTCACCTCATTGTTTATTTATTTTGTGTTATTATTTTTTTTCCCCCATGCGTTAACAAGTGTCATTATGTAGAAATAGAAATGGTTTGAGACTGAGCCAATGCATTCTGATGAAGGGCGCTCTCCTACAAATAATTTTCTGAAAAGAGGGGGGGGGGGTGTACTGGAAGAAACAGCTTTCTGGATGATGAGTGGCTTTTGTTTCAGGTGTTTCAAGTAAATTGATTTGTGCCTTCTAATAAAAGTCACGTTTGAGGAAATATTACAAGATCTTAGACCCCATGGCTGTGCTGAATGTGTGTGTTCCTTGACAGACAGTTGTAATAAAACATTCCTGATCATGCAGATGATTGATTTCTGTACCTTATTAATGCAGTTCTGGCAACTGTAACGCTTTTTTTGACATTTATTTTGACAACTGGATGCACATGGAATATACTTTTTACTGCTCACAGCCAACTCTCTCTGTTTTGCAGGGCAACATGGAATGGCCTGAGGATTTTCCTGAGGACCAAACGTTTGTGGCGCTTCCGGTTCCAGGGGTTTCCAGTGATCTGGACTTTGAACAGTTTATCAAAGACACAGAGGAGAAACTCAGTCAAAATGCCAGGAGGTTAGTCTGAAAGAAAAATGATGCACCTGCTATGCTCACCCAGTGTTTATCATCTTTATTAAATAGAGTATTAAATGGATAATTGTGCAGGTTTAATATATCTCCTTTGAATTTCACTTTTTTCATTCTTTTGCAGCATTGTTCTCACTCCAGTTATTGGTGATCAATGTTCCTTTGAGGCATGATTTTCTGCTGAAGTTTGTCCTTCTTTTTGTAAAGGTCAGGAGCATTACAGGAAGTGGAGTCTTTTATAATGTTGGACAAATTATAAAAACAGAACGTAGTCGGCGTTGAACACAAATTATAACAAAAAATCAATTGTAGATTTATGCTTACTTTGAGCATGTAAAACGGGGTTTAAAGGTGATAAGCTTGTTTTTCGTTTTTCTCAGAATTTATTTTTCTTTGACTGAACATGGAAAGAATAGTTTTATTTTTAGAATAGTTACTTAACGATAATTAGCTTGTTTTTCAGAAATCATCCCTGAACAGAAATTTGTGACATCATATAAATTGGCTAAAACAAATTGAACAAAATGTTGCTCAAATATTAAATAAATTAGTCTTTTGGCTACTAAATAGAGTAAATTGAAATTAACAGTTTATAAATGATTTTCATTCAAAATCTGTATGAGATTACTTTTACACTCCATAAACACTAAAGAACATTAGAAGAGTACATTTTATGAGTACGTTCTCAAAATAAATAATGTTAAATGACAAGATGATGTACAGAAACATAAGCAACAACGTAAACTTTACTTAAATAAAATGTAGTATACTTTGTTTGTCTGGTGGCAAAACTTTTACTTCCTTGCATAAATTAATTTACATCAAACAAACTGATGCACGCATGCAGAAAACCATTTGTGTATTTATGTAAACAGTGTTTTGTTTCTCTCTTTTCATTTATTCTCCTTAACACCTCACCAAATTCAATGATGACATGGAAAGGCATTCAGTTTGCATATTTAAATACAACATTTGACTACAAGAGACATAGAATTGTGCTAAATTAGTCAATTATTAGGTGCATAATATTAGATGTGAACTGACAGAAAAGTATAATTAGCACATAGGGAGAAATCCTATCAGTTACATGTTGTTCCCGGTGTTTAAACCAATCACTGTCCTGTGGCTTTTGGTTGGATTTAGTTAGCCTGGTTTATCATTTGTTTGGAAATGTGGTGGCTTGGATGTGTTGTCTCTTGTTTAGGGGAATAAGCACTGGTATATTTTAAGTTTGGCACTTTTACATGGCTTTATGACTGAGATGGTTTGCTAAGAGAGCCCTACGGAGACACCTATTTATCTGAAAATGATTCTGTGTGGTGTTTTTCAAAAAAAAGAAAGAAAAAAATATTTCTTGGTGGTTCAGTTTATTACTTCCTTAAACTTTATTTTGGATTATGCTATCTGAGCTTTTAAAGCATATGGACATCTGTTTGCTGGCAGATGCAGATAATTTAAGATCACAAATAGATTGATAAAAAGTGAGATATGAGAACAGTGGAGGAAAAAAATATCCATATGTCAGGTCATTTATCGTTTGTACTGTTGTAAGGCTGAGGGCAGATGATGAAGGACAGGCTAAATGTAGCAAGTGAACAAAGCCTCACTCTGGCACCATTAGTGTCTGGGCCTCATCCCTTCACTCTTTCCTACTATCTCCCTCCCCTTTTCTCTTTTTCTTTCCTTCCTCCTTCTAAATGGGAACATCATAATTGAAGATTCCACATCTTGAAACGAAAACCCTTGGGTAGGTAATTCAAGGCTTATTACCGAAGGCCGGGCCATTTTTCTGCTTTCTAAGCATTAAAGGGTTATTTTGTGTTCCTACAGATGGGAGAGGGATAACCATTATGAGAACAAAGCATACAGATAATGGCGAATGGGGCTAAAAATATGGCAATCCTCCTCTCGCCGTGGGGAACCACTGGTCAGTATCTTTGTCAGACTGCAGCTAAGTTTCTCTCAGACTACTTTCTGCGGGGACATGTCTCAGTAAATAAAATCTTCAGAGGCTTTTTCCTGCCTCAACCAGGGTGGGCTGTTGGTACATGAACACCCATTCTAATGTCTGCAGTTTACTCACCTGCTGCCCAACTGACTTATCAGTGTCTGGGACAAATTACGGAAGTGGAGGAGAGGAAAGACAAACCAAGAGATTGAGAAAGTGGAGTCACTGAATAACTTCAGCCTGTTTTGGGGTCAGAGAAGCTGGTCTGCTCTTGGTTCTCAGATGTCAGAGATTTGCCTGAGAACTGCTCCCTAATTGAAAGAGATTAAGATGGGCTGACAACGGAGCTGGCGCTCACAAATTGAAATGCTGTAATCCATTAATTTTCATCAGGTGGGACAGTTCCAGGGACTGGCAGGAGTATAGCCGGATGTGGTGGGCCACCAGGAAAAGACCTCTAATGAAGTGTCAGCATAGATACTGAGACTAAAGACAGGATTCCAGTTTCACATTGGCAAGGCGACTGACTATTGTCCTGCCAATCTTGATTAACTTGCAATATCAATACTTCTGATCCCATGTGTAAAGGATTCTTACTATTGAATGATGAAACAAAAACAAAATAGATTTTAAATTCTGCCATAATAAAACACCATAGAACGTTGATTCTGGGTAAATTGTAACACCCGTTTAAAGTCCTTGTTGTAAGGAGTTGATTTTGTGTTTAGCTGAGCGTGACACGTGTGTTCAGTGTATCATCTGTATCAGTTCTCTGATATCATTCACTGGACTGCTTGGTTTAGTGCACTAAGTGGGCGACAGGCTGGCCAAGACAGGATTTGTTTTCAACTTGTTCATTCAGGCTTGTTCCGTCCTTTTCCTCCTCACAGAATAGGAGCCTTTGATGGAGGAGATATTTAGTTCTCAGGTGGCAGCTTTGGCACTGATTGGAACTTGGGGTTATTTGAAAAGGATCTTCCAGCCTTCGTTGCCTCCATGCATAGGGGGATGGAGCACAGCACAGACAACCCAGGCCACCCACACTAAATTAATTCTGACAAGGAACTTAAGATAACGTCAAAGTGCTGACTAATCACAGGATTAGGTTTCTGTAAGTCAGGGAGCTGTGAAATGTACCATCATACCTAATAAAAGACCTCCACTTGCTCCCCTTCTTTTCCAGCAATGGAAGGAGCACAGTTACGGTGTTGACTGTCTTATTAAACTGGCCTGAAAAACAATTAAATTTCATTTCAGCAGTGAAATTGAAAGTGTGCCTCATAGGATGATATGATTGACATGTTGGTCAAGAGGCCTGCAGGATTCTTTCCTCCTAGTTTCCTTCTTCACTTTTCTCATTCTCTTGGTCTTTTGTTGAGTTCTGCTCTGGCATTTTTGCCATTACGGGTTAGTCCATTGTCATCTTTACACAGAAAGCTGAGTGATTTTATTTTCTGCGACTGCTCTGTTTTCTACTGCCTTATACCTTCGCCCCCATACTCTTTTTGTCTTTTTCCTGGGCATCTGAGCTCCTTGCACTGGGAAGTCATCAAGTTGGGAGCTAATCCTGTCAAGTTGATTATACTGCAGGTAGCATTCACACCAGCGGGCAAAAGGTCACTGCATTGTAGAGAGCTGGATGGACTTCTTGACACAGACCAACCACAATGACTTTATAACTTGTAGCACAAGACTCTAAGGAGGGGTAACGGAAAGGTGAGAGCAAAGAAAAGAAAATTAGCAAAGTAATAGTTTTGTGGAGAGAGAAAAAGAAGGAGAAACACTGAAAAAAGAATTGAAGACTTAAAATTTTGTCCGACGTTGTTTCTGTGCTCATTAAAGTATATTGTTTTCTTGAGTGAAGGTAAGTGTGAGGCAGTGGTGAATGAGAGAAAAAAATATGAAACCCACAAGACATTGTCCTTCCTTATGTTCTTTAAAGCCTCACTTGCATCTTAAAAAGAATTCCTCTTTTTCATTGTCACCCATCTCCGTATATATTCTAAAAAGTATGGAATTAAGCCCTATTCACACGGGATTAGTTTTACTTCGGGACCACGTGTAATAAATAAATTACTCCCCAACGTCTGCTTTTTATGTGGCGCATTTGCATGGAATAACCAAAGCCTGAGATTTAGCTGAAATTTACGGGCATCTTCCGGATATGATGTTAATGCGTTGCGTTGTCACGATGGGGCCAGTCTCAGGCTTTGATGTGGTTTTACGAATCAGCAAAACGAAATAATGCACAATATAAAATTGTGTTAATCTACTTGTTGAAGAGGAGGCAGGTCTGACTGGCCGGTTTAAATTAGAGGTTAAAAAAAAGCCACGTTAAGCTCAGATGGACAACCTGTCACCGGCCATGCACACACGCGTCCGCTGACCCACTGGTTGAAACGCCGCTCGCACATTGATGGCTGGACATAGGCACCAGCGACCCCCGCTACCCGAAAAGGAAAAAAGCGGGTAAATATAATGGATGGATGGATGGATAGGTCAGCTGATCACGCATGCGTCTCCGCACCTGCTGTCATCTGCGGTGACGGAAGTAGCAGCATAAAAGCCGAAGTGAGCAGCACGTTAATTTAAAATAGCCTTGTTCTATATTTTTCCAAATGATTTTGCGTAAAAAAACAAAAAACGGCTAATTACGTATCAGATCCCGCACATTTCTGTCCAAATCACAGAGATGTCATTGGGTTAGTATTATCACAGGACCTGGGAGTTCAGCAAAATATAGTAGGTAATTTGCGGGGGAATTTTTACTTTACAAATTACTGACATGGCTGATTCGCACGGGATTAACAACACAGACATCTCCGTAATGATTACAAATAGCATGTGGTCCCTAGGTAAAACTAATCGTGTGCAAATAGGGTTTTGTCGAGTTAAAGCTTTCATACCATTCAGTTTGTTTCCTTGAAATTTTTTTTTTCTTTTTATGTAAACATAATTTTACATATTTTGAACTGGATCGGGCTTGGTTTGAATGATATATAACGAGACATGTTTACTTTCTTAAATAAGTACAATGAATTACTCTTTTTTTTGTGAATCAAGTTATTAAAAAGTACATAGTCTGGCCTAAAGTCAACAGTGTCTTTTTGTTGTGTTTGCATCCTGCAAAGTGTTTTTAGAAAGGTTCTCAGAGTATCAAGATAGGTGGAAGTTTATCAAAACATATTTTTTAGCAAAACTCCTAACAGTAAAATGACAAGTTTAATCCATTTATGTTTTAAATTAACTTCACAGAGGGGGTAAAATGTGAGCTACAGATGGAAGCCCATTTCAAACCTGCTGTCTTTGTAAAGTCCTGAGGTGAAGCCTCAAATGAACATCCATGTTTATGACTTACTATAAACACACACATCCAGGGCTCCGTGCACCCATTTCATCTAAAGCAATGTTTCATTAGAGGACATAATAATGTAAATCTATCAAAGAAGCTTGCCTAACCTTTCAGCTGTTGCTTTTATTCTTAAAATTTCAAACCCTAATGTCTGTTTTCTACCTTTATAAAAAGAACAAAAAAAAAACTATTTGTACTTCAGTTTTCTTATACACTCATGTCTTTGCAGAAAGCCAAATTAGAATATACATACATAAACCAAATATTTTTGTTGTTGTTTTAATATGAGCTTATTACTTTGATATGTATTGTGAGCAATTATAAGTAATTATAACAACATCATGTCATTGTTGAGGCAAGACTTGCTACTTTCACACATTGCATCACAAAAGCAATTTTTTAATGTACATTGAGCAAACAAGAAAAAAGCAGGAGTAATACAGAATCAAATACACAGGGTAGGGCTGAAATGTAAAAGCTTACTTAAATGGGGGTGTTTGATTGCTCTGCATTTGTGTTCCAAAAATCACCTTACATCGGTTTGCTCAAAATACACAAAGAGACACCCTCTTTATGACCGGGCTTGCTGTCAGTCGACACAGCGGTGACAAGAGAGTAAAGTGCGATGCATCATCTGGTCTGCCTAAAGAAGAGGAAAAGAGTGACGGGAAGGTAGTTAACGTGAGACACAGCAATAACATTAGACAGCGCTCAGTCTAGAGGATAGCAACTTGTAACAGTCTATAACATTTTATCCCCTTGCGTTTTTCCCCTCTGAAATGGAAGTGTGTCAGCTTGAACGGTTGTTTAATGTGATGCCATTGCAAGACATCTGGATGTGTTCATGGCCCAGGAGCAAGCAGGAGGCAGTTTATAGACCTACGGTAGGGGGAGAACTGACAGACGGGCATTTTGGCTTTGCCTTATATATATTAACACAGAAATTCTTACACTTTTGAGATTTGGAGCGCAGCTTATTCGTGTTGCAATTTTCTATTGGTTATTTGTTTAAGTCATTGATTGGTGATTTGGTCTTTAAGATGTTATGACAAGTGTTCATGGTTTCACGGACGCAATTAAATTCAACCTTCAAAAAAACAAAACAAAAGCCGTCTTTTATGGATTTTCCTAACTTTATTTCTCTATTGATTCATGTTCATTAAGCAATGGATCATCTAATTAATCATTTTAGATCCAGTGTCATGTTCTTCTGTATACACTAATTTGTGGAACTTTGTGTACGTCTGCATCAGTCAATGCACAGCCGCATGTGAACACAAGAGCAGCCTTCACCCTGAACTATAGTTTAATTATGTAGGTATGCTGGCGTACACACTTTTGCACACTCACACACACTCAGACGCCTTCCTGCATCCAAGTATATATATATGCATTGATTTGCATGGAAATGACTAAACATGTCGAGCCCAAAGATGTCATTTCTAATCTGTCATATTAAAGAGGAAACTGAATAGCTGATGCCGTCTGTTAACATCAAAAGAACGATGTTTGTGTATGTGTGTGTGTCAAGGGAGCGAGTAAGACATGAGATAGCAAAAAGTGTGTATCTCAGATGCCTGCCGATGCCTGTAATGCCACTTCATACCAGATGCTTAGCGCATTCTCTCACACTGATATATCGGTGTCTGTGTTCATTACTGTTGATGCTTCTATATCTGTCTTCTCTCAGTAGTTGCTGAGTGAGAGGGAGGGAGACCTGAATGTGTTGATTTGATGTGTGTGTATCTTCAGCATTGTGCCTACATGTTTGTATAATGCAGTATCTTGTCTTTACTTGGGAATGTTTGACTGAGTGAGTTGGACTCCACACTGAGGACACTGTCTTACCAGAAACTGACAGTGGACTTTGTCCATAGTCAATCCAACTTTAAATGTTTTTTTCTGCAGAATAAAATAAGATGGTTGTGATTAGTCAGTTTGATCGAGACAATTGTTGAAAGCTATGACGTTTATTTATTTCATTGTTTAAATAAATCTTTAGGCCTGTCGTGATAAACAATAATTAATTTAATCGCATGATAAATTAAAATTATCAATCTCATTTTCATTTATCGGCTTTATCGTTTCTTCGTGTCTCTCTCTTTCTACTGAAGACACTGGATGACAAAAGGCTCAACTCCGGTGCTCTTCACTGACCCCTCCCTTTCTCTTTGCTCTTTATAATCCATTTTTACCGTCCAAAATCGCGTTTGTGGATCGGTAAAAGCAGCAAAGCTGAGAAGCTAAGCTACGAGCTAAGCTAACAGGCTGACCTCAGGAAAAAAATCTCCGTCTTCTTGAAGCTCCAAAATTCATGGTTGAAACCCGTGCCTTCGTGTAAAAAGTAGTTTTCTCTGCAAAAAAAAGCTGAGAATTTGTTTAGCTTTGTGTAAAAAATGCTATGTTAAAGAGCTCAAACCACACAGAGCGTCCGCCGTTTTGAGAACCAAAGAGAGACAGCCCATGTCACGTCAAGGGGCCTCCCTCCCATTTTTCCTAAAGAGACACGCTGCTCGCTCCCTCACTATCCATCCTTTGGTTCAAACAGTCTTATACTGCCATCCGATGGTCAAAAAAATTACTACGTGCAAAACAATTTAAACATTTCTTCTTAAATTTGGCAATAATTACTAATTATTGTCAAATTTCAAACAATTTTATTGTTTATTGCAGTAATTTCTGAGACAATTAATCGCCCAGCAAAATTTGTTATCGTGACAGGCCTATTCTATATTTTGTATCCTTAGGTTGTCAGAATGTACCATTTGCAGAATAAGCACAACGTTTCATGCATAATCTTGAATGTAATTTTAATTTTCTTCAAAGTTGAACTTTTTTCTCAGTCTTTATCAATGTGTCTCCTTTTCACAGTCTTGAACAACAGCTGAGGGATCTCCAGTTCAAAGTGGGAGAATCTAGAACAGGAAGTTCTCCGAGTTCAACGGAGGTCCTGCAGTGGTTCAACATTAGAGCACAAAACAATGTGAAGCCTGTTACCACTGGACATCAAGAGCTCATGAACTTCTTCAGAGCTCTGGTAAATTGCCAGGATAACGTTGACACTGACTCATTGTGTTTATTATCACAGTTGTGATGCTTTTAAAGTTTTGAACTTTTTTAAAAGTTTCATTATCAAACACATTTGTTTCTAGAGACAGACTGATTATTTTTAAGAAGGTGGCCCTACAAGAGCATACTTAGCCAATTAAAAGACAGGCACATCTTGGGGCAGCACAAGGCCTTTTAACAGCAAGTGTGCTTTTACAGTACAATGTCTGCAGCCCCCCCCTCCCCCCCCCAAAAAAAAAAAAATTTGACCAGATATTTATGCAAACTTTTAAAATAAATGTTGTTTTTTTTAACTAGATAAATAATAAGACTAACAAACTGTTTTTGAAAACATTATATATTTAGTTAGAAATGCTGACATTTTGTGTAAAACCATGATTATCTTCGTGCTTGGAACCCCATTCATATCAGGCAGGCAATGAACTGTGGTAAAAATGTGTACTGAAAGTCCTTTTTATCAAGAAGCAACACCGTTCTGCTTTGTGCTGCATTGTGCCATATGTTCAAGTAATTTTCAACTTTGTTCATTTACCAGTTCTCTGATGTTTTTCTCTGTTTCTTTAGCAACAGTACCTTAGATCAGATGAAGAAGCAAAAGAAGAGGTGACACTTGAGCTCCTGATGAACCTGACTGCTCAGTGTGGCTTTTGCTTTCCTTGTACACCCTCTTCTTCCTCTTCAACTTCCTGTCTTCATCCTCAAATGTCCAACTCCTCTGCCCACACATTGCATACAGTCAGAGATGACTCTTCTTTGGAGGTATTTCCCTACTTTTGATTCAGTTTAGTGTTGCAATGCTCATTTGAGTGATATAATTTTTAATTTAGCTGCTAAATGTACTGAAATGAGGATTTAATTAGCTTCATGTGCCATGCTTGTACTTGTATCTAAAATGGTGGCATAGTATTGACATTGAATTATTCCCTATAGATTCAGGAAGCGTGGGATGCTGTGCGTCTCCAGCTGCGACGCTATCTGATGGACCGGCTGTCATTTCACAGCCCGGAACCTTCTGGATCCCAAAAATTTTCCACTTTGACTATCCCTGAACGGGTCCTCTGTCTTCAGCAGCTGTCGTTCCTTTATCCTGATTGTGAGGTTCTCACAGATTACCAGGTGTAGTAACTCTAATATTATAAAAAAAAATAAAAAAAACATACTGTATCTTTTAAAATATTTTTTTTATTATTTGTAAATTAAGCAGCAGCATGGTGGCTCAGTTGTTAGAGCCTGTCAGTGAGAGGGTTGCCAGATCAAATCCCAGCCAGGGACTTTTCTGGGTGGAGTTTGCATGTTCTGTCTGTGCATACACAGGTTTTCACCGGGTCCTCCAGTTTCCTCCCACAGACCAAAAACATGCATGTTAGGCTGACTGGTAACTCTAAATTGTTCCTAGGTCTGAGTGAGAGAGGGAATGGTTGTTTGTCTAGTTTGTCTCTATATGGCCCAGTGATGGACTTGCAGCCTATCCAGGATGCACAGTGACTGCTAGATATGGGCACCAGTGACCCCCCGTGACCCGCAAAGGAAGAAGTGGGTAAATATAATGGATGGATGATGGATGGAAATTAAGCACTACTTTAAATGTTTGGAGCAGCAAGTTTTGTTGCACAATGGAAAGGTTTAATGAAAATGTATTCTCAATAAAACAACAACAACCTGAAACACAGTATTACAGGCCTCCGCAAGTAAATATTACATAATAGATAACAGTCAAGTCATGAGCTGTTTGACATTAAATATATATTATTTTAAATGTGTTTTTACAGGCCCTAAAATGCAAGTTTGTGGTGCACGTTCTCCACTCAAGCTTGTGCTCCAGCCCGGGTGGTGAGACTGGCTTTGACAGGGTGGCTACAGGTTTCTGCAATGCAGTCCCATGTCTGACCCAAGCCCTCAAAGAGGAGCTTCAGGTCCTCTCAAGCTTAACAGAGCCCCACACAATCCTTGGTTTTCTAAATGTGGCCTACTTTGGTACTGTGGCCCAAGAAATGGCTTTGGAGATGGAGAGAGAATTTGAAACAGTGCAGAGGGACAACACAGTGCTGAGCAGCAAGATTAAAAAATACTCAGCCAGATCCCGAGCAACTGTAGGTAAGTCGTTGTTTAAAAAGTCTGATAAAGTTTGTTTTCTCTCACTTACATATTTTCTTTAGAGTCATCAGATCACATTCCTCCTCTTCAATTCTGTGCTCTGTTTTTTGCTCTTGGTTTTTATTGATACCCCAAAAAAATCATTTTCCCTTCATTTTTATTTATTTTTCTCAACTGCTGTGTATAGAGATCTGAGCCAAAGTCAAGGCCATCGTTAGTGATTCCTCTTCATTGTATATGCTTTCTTTACTCCCTATTCTCCTTCTGCCAGGCTTTTCTTTTTGTAAAAAATAAAATAAAATAAAACAACACATACAATAATCAGAGAACCATATTTCCATGACCAAGGCATCTTTTTAAACTACTCAACCCTGTTCAACACAAATTGCATCTATGGCTTAACTAAGATATTGTTCGTTTAAGTTCGAGTTAATTCACGGTGCTCATTTTGCTCATTAGTGGATTGTTGTTGCAGCACTTGTAGGTTTGATGCCTTCTTTACAAAAATTCAAACAATATAAAAAAATCCAAATAAATGGTATAGAAGCGTTTGGATTCAACCCTATTAATTTACACCAAAAGAGATTGACTGATGTTTCTATACCTTGCACTAAATTTGGTACCGTTTGACTTATAACTGATGATTGGGAAAGAGCGTTTACCATACTTGCCACCGTACACATCGCACTGCCGTATAAGTCGCATCAGTCTAAGTATGTCTAATAAAGTGGAAAAAAACATAAATATGTAGCTTTGCCGTATAAATTGCATCTATTATGCGTCAGTGCTGGCCACCCAGAAATGTGGACTGGTGTTGTGCCAAAAATCGATTGGCTGCCAAATGGCGGCCACGGGAGCGTGCATGGAAGGGCTTTAACAATAATTTAACAAGATTAACACTTAAAAACAAAAGTTTGCTTGAAATTATAGCAAAGGTGTGTCTCATTTGAACTTTTCCTTAATAAATGAACTTTGACGATTAAATCAGCTTTGATTTGACGTTTACTCTTGGAGTTCTAGAGCGAGAAGAAGGTGGCTTGATATGGCAATCCAAGTATCTCATTAATAGTCATGTTTACCTATTAATGAGACACTTGGCTTGCCATGTATGAGGGCCCTCTTGCGGCTGAAAATGTTAGTGTTCAATATTTTCCATGTCAGAATGAATGGAATCGTCAAATCTCAGTCAAAAATTGGGTTATAAATATGGGGAAAAAAAACATAAATAAGTGGCTTTGCTCTATAAGTCGCTAATGCTAATTTATTTATTTTTTATTTATTAGTCGCATGCTAATTTATGCAAAAAAGGTGTAAAAAGTATGGTAAATGAAAAAGGGAAAGGTTAAACGATTTGTCGACCTTGTTACACTGTTGCATGGTTTCTGAGAAAACAAAAGTGATACTTATAATATTTCTCCTCTAATGCTGAGTGGATCTGTGCTGGAGCATGTGGTGATGTTATACCATAGCAGACCCTTACACAACGTGTCACTTCTCATACATGATTCGCTCACATTCTTTGTGTTCGCTTCATATTGGCATATTTACAACATGCCGAGAGGAAAGAATCACAATAACATAAAAATAAAATAGTGTGTGAGCCATTGTTTACTTTTTCAAAAATGGTACACATGCCAACTTCCCTGTGGAACAGCGAGAGGGGTGCCATCTCATCTGCCGTTCTTCGATAAACGCACCACTAGCCTTGCTTCATTTTTTCCCCCTCCTTGCCTCCATCTCTCTTTTTTCTATTTATTTTCCTCTCTGGTTTTTACTTCCCCTCTCCTTAACTGTGAGATGAGAGGAGGCAGCCGGGATAATTGGCCATGCGTCAGCTGGGTTGTTTGATCACGTAACGCGACTGAGGCTACACACCTACGTGCCGCTCAACAAACCGTCAAATGTAGCACCGGAGGCAGAACACGGCTCCAAAGGGAGCAAGGGACCCATGCTGTGTAATGATGGTAAAATGGAGCAGTTTTGCCTGTGTTGCTTTTACTTATGTGTTTGGGTGTGTGTGTGTGTGTGTCGTGTGTGTGTGTTTGACTATCATCTGCAACAAAGCTACAATTGGGATAACATTTTTCTACTTTTCATGTTTCAAGTATCCTCCAAAATATAATAAATAAAAATAACAATAATAAAATAAACCTCAAGAATCTACATGTTCACTCCAAATGCCCGTAGCACCAAAAGCACCGGTGCTGGAACATTAATGCATAATCTGCTTTTGCACTCTACTGTCTGTAAACTGTATGCAATGCACATAATTGTCAAGACAATTATGACAGGGGCGAAAAAAGTGATTCTCTTTTCGTAAGCCTCCAGTGGTTCCTTAGATCTCATCCTCCTCTCCTGCTGTGTTATTGTTTATTTCTGAAGTAGAGGCAGGCGGTAGGTATATTTTGATAAGAGCCATGCCGAGGAGACTCTGCATGCTCTCAGGGGAGCTGCGCTGTCTGTAGCATCAGCCACTGTCAAACCATTGAACCATTTAACAGCTTTCACAGCGAGCTCTTCCTCCTCTTTTAACCCTACTGACTCAAAGGCAGGCCCTGACTTTGTACCTAGACAGATGTGGAAAAACCTCACACACCCCACCCTCATCCCCCTTTTCTCCTCCTTTCTACTTTTTTTTTTATATCCACATTTGCTTCTTTTTTTCTTTTCACATTTTCCTGTTCTTTTACGAGTGCACTGGAGTGAACAGAAAGACCAGGAGTTGTGTCTGAGAGGCTGCTTGGTCTGGAGCAAAACACGCCTTAGACTCTACCAGCACACCTCACTGAGTTTGGGAGTGTGGGAGAAGAAAGAGATTCAAGTTTTCATGTTTTCTCTGAAGGCCAAAACAAAATCTATAAATTGCTTTTTTGTAAATAAAATAATATTAAGAATATAAACCTTGCTTTTAATGCCATTGTTTAAAACTTATACATAAATTAATACAGCTAAAATCTGAATTGCATTTGAATCATTTAAATGTTGTATTTTATGTAGAATGATACAAAAATAGTGCATCAAATGTTGAAAATGCACTGGTTGATGCACATTGTTATTCTACTGCATCACCTTTTCTTTTAACTCTGCAAGCATGTGGGAGCTAATGGGACCAGTTGCTGTGTCTTTGAGAAAACATCATGTTTATTAATTTAGCTCAACTGCTGGGTCTTATTATTTGTATTTGTTTCCTAATACATCTTCACTAAGAGTGAAAACTGCTGGCTAACCTGTTTATTATTTGAAGTCTTTTAATTTCAAGTTCAAGTATCTTTATTGTCATTCGCATCACATGTGCTACATGAGGTGGAATGAAACTGTGTACTCAAGGTCCCAGTTACACCCCAACATAGCAAAATATAAAGTATAAAACAAAACAGTTTACAAGGCTCTAACATATATGCTAAACACTAATAATATAAAACATAATGGTATACCAAACAGCCCCAATATAATATTGTATTGTTATAAAAGTTACAGACTCTTCTTTGGTGATGTGTTACTGAGTTAATGGCTCTTCAAAACCATTAACCAGAATGTATTGCTCATCAATAATGTTGATCAACTTTTTTTTTGTCAATGCAGCAACCAACTGGTTTTACTCAAAAGTTTTGAGAAAAGTTCATTACCTAGCCTTCTGTGTTGTACATATTTCTTTAATGTTTTCCTAGACTTTTTAATCCTGTTACATTTTTTAGATGATGATATCCATATTTTACATTTTCTGCTGAATGCATGCTGACAAATCACCCAGAATAATATTTGTGCATGCAGATTTTACTAGAGTAAATTCTTCTTTTTTCAGTTCAACGTTGTATTTTCAAGCAAGCCTCTATTATTTTATGGTACTTAACTTTTATGCCGTATAAGGAGTAAAAGCTGCACTCGATGAAATGACAACTTCACACTTTTCCCCAAATTATGCAGTACATTGCATCTGATAATACAAATATTAGTGACCTGTTCTAAAAAAAAAACATCTTAAAGTCATATTGAGCTTAAAAATACAAATTGCAAAGACTATTTGCATTTGACACTGTCAATAAGTGTTTTACCCTTACTACTCATTTTCATATGAGCATGCGTGGCTGTATGTGGTTTGGTATGCATTTGTCTTGAAGAGTTTATCTTGTGTGTTTGTGTGTGTACATTTGCACTAAATGCACATAAAACTGAGATCAAAAGTCATTTAATATGTTCTTTTTTAAAATGCATCCATACATTTCCATATGGTATTAGTATTTTGCATTTGTATGCACACTAGATTTAGTTTTTGTGGGGCATTAAAACCTTTCATTCTGACTTTCTTTGCACACACACTTACCGGTACAATTTATTCCCAACAACAATCGGCCATGGGGGTGAAGTCGAGGTTGAGAAATTCTGCTCAAACACTTTGCAACACTGTTTTGATATTTCTGATTTAAATTCCACCTCACTAATTTCCCCATATGACGACGTCAACAGCTTCATATAGATAAAAAAAGGATTCAGTTAGGACTTGTATTGCAAGCGCATTCGCCGCCACTGCACCTTCCTCCTCACCCTTTTCAGACTCTTTGAACTCTTTGCTTAGAGACAGCACTGCAGCCTATTCAACAGGGAGAGGGGTTCTGTAGCGACGCGAGATAGCTATGGTGAGGTACTGACTGGCATTGGAGATGCTTGTGGGGATTGAGGCTACTTGGGAATGGCGTTTGTTAATATTTAATAAGAGCAGCTCCTCACTAGATCATATCTCTGCCTGAGTTTATACACACTGTCAGCCAGGGATGTGTACTCGCATACTGCCACATAATTAAGGTCTGAAGGTGTTTGTGTGTCACTGTGAATATGTGGGGAAAGCGCACACACCTTATGGATGAATATTTTTTAATGCAATTGTTACTGTCCTTGTAGGTGATTAAGGAAGTTGCCATGTAGAGTAAGTGTTTGTTTATTAACCATGTTGGGAAATGCTGCGTCATTTCTCTCTGCTTGTGTTCATGTGTGTCTTTGTTGGA